TTCACCTATTGATTAGTGCCCTCCAGTTTTGTTTTTGTTATAAGTTCCACTTCAATAAATGCCATTAGTACAATAGGTTATGAGGATATGAGGTCGAGTAGTAGTGGTAGTAGTATGAAGAACTAACTTATTATTGAAATAAGAGAAAATGAAAAAGAAGCATAGATGATGTATTTGTGGATGGAGATGGACCATTAAAGTGCAAGAAAAGAACAATAGTGTAAAGATAAATGGAAATTGAATTGGTTTTTAATTGAATATCTTTTTTAGTTTTTGTTCTATAAATAATTATAGGTACTATGGATTCTGATTTGAAACATATTTGCCTCAAATACTAAAGCAAATTTGTTTTTTAAAGTAGTTGACAAAAAAATATTTTATGATACTATTATGCCCTAGTATTGAATAAAAGGAACTAATTTCCCGTGATGGAGTCGCTGTCCCGTCCGATGTATCGGTTGCAGTAGTTAACTGCTCTCCGGTAAATCTTGGCATCGACTTGCCTAGCAGTTATTGGTACTGATGAATCATCCATCGTATCGACGGGGGTGTCATCAGTACCAGTATCCGTTTCGACAGCCAACTGCCTCGCGACATCACTGCAGACCGTGGAGATTGAGTACAGATCTCGCCAGTCAGCCTCCCTCCCTAGTCAGCAACTGGGAGGACTTTTCACCGTAGTGCTAATCACTGTAGTTTCCATGATGTCTTCCTCGTCTGACAAAGGCGAACCATCCCAGAGCTGATTAGGGATGCTCTCCTGACTAAGGCGGAAGAAGCCGGTTTCCTCTAATAGGTTGATGTAGTTAGAATGCGGGGAGAAATGAAGGAGGTTATCAAAGACCGACAATCCCGAGGATGTTCGGATTATGGACGGTGGGTATACGCCTGCCTTCAATGGAAATGTCAAGTTTTAAATTGACTTCCAGCGTCCAGGAAGTGAAAAGTGACACAGTATACTTTGCAGTGAATAATTTTAGATTGCGAAGAAGTTGGTGGCACTTACGTCGTCAATGTTAACGCTGGACGAAATAATCGTACAGTCATCGGCGTACGACACCACGAAAACAGCTGGTGGAAGAATGGGGAGTTTGAACAAAATGGGAGATAGTATACCGCATTGAGATACTCCCATTTTGATCTTGTGATATTTGGATTTTTGGCCACGGAACTCAACGAAGGCCTGCCGCCCATTAAGGTAGTTGTCAAGCCAACGCTTGGTATCACTATCAAAGCACGGAATGATCGACCGTATCAAACGACTGGGATAGATCTAAGGCTGCCACTATCTATCTATCTTTTGTAATTGCATACGATACTCAAGAGCGCCAGCTGCATCTCTTATTTTTTTCTCCTCGGTGGATATGACCTTTTTTAACTTCTATAGGCAGGCAGAATTTGAAAATTCGGAAAATCAGTATTCAACAATTTTTTTGTCGCTGGCAGTCGTCATTCGAACGGTAACTCTTGAGGAGATTAATGTTCCGAATGTTCTGTTTAGGATTTGAGACTCTCCTCCCAACAGTTCTAGTTATGGAACCATCATTATGGCCGCTATCGATGCACACCAAATTGACGCTGCTCCAGAATATTAGCGTCTCTTGTTTTTGCTTCTTCATGGGTTTCTCCCTCTTCACTGTTATAAACAGTTAGAGGGATCTAATCACATTTGGAACGGTCGTCTTCCTTTACCCTCATTAGCTTATGAGGCTCTCGTCCGAACAATTCCAGCCTTTTCACTATCCTTTGTAGCCGCTATCGAAGCATACGCTGCTATAAGCATATAATGGGGTTTAATTAATCGCATTTGGGACAGTCATCTTCAATACTTTTGGGCCCGCCTTTAGTCCTCGTTGGACGATCTGAATTATGAGCATTTGGAGATTTTAATTATGGCCAGAAATAATTTGATATACGTAGTTCGATAAGAAAATCCTTTTGTAATGTCTACAATTTTGGATTGTTAGTTTTTTTTTTTTTTTTTTGATGCAGATAAAAATTTTAGTCATATTTTGGTGTGCTCTTCGATTTTTTACTTAAGGGACACCAGCCCCTCCACATTCTCGGTTTAAAAAAATCCGATCATGTAGTTCATCTCGAAAGAGAAATTAATAAAAACATTCGCCCTAAAAAGGCATAGAAAACTCAAAAATGCAGCTTGAGCCCGGCTTGGACTTGAACCCTGGTTCCCACGGCATTTGTTGATTGTTGTTCGGCGCCTTAGCGTTCAAAGCCACCTCCTTATCTTCCTAAGGTTGCACAATATGCAGTTGTATACTATTAAAGAGAAATATTGTAGTCTGTATGGAAAAAAGTCCGTCACTACAAGAAAAATTTGCTCTGAAAAGGAATGTTATGGTGTTATGCCAAATGTCCGAACCTTGACACGGTTGTATTTATTTCGACATAAATTCGACATAAATACAACTTATCAAGTAACGACATTTGTAAGCCACATTGCCCAATATACTTGATGAGCCGCTTAACGAACGGCAAAACGCACCGCATAATGGTGGGAATGTAGAATCTCTCTGGCTTTCCTTTTCATTGCATCTTCGATCATGAGCTACATGAGAAATATAAATTAATAAAAACTCAATTTTGTTTTTATTTATTTTTTCAATTCTTGATGCCTTGTTTTTCTATTTAATTCGAACCTACACTAATTCAAGGATGTCCCTTTTAAAGTTTCAAGTGAAAATCACGACAACTCTTGCAGTTATAGGCAATCTATTGTGACAGCATCCAGCGACGGTAAGAATGTTTCTCAAATATCAAGGCCTACGGACAATAAGGAACACTATACTACGTATCGACAACAGAAGGGGGCTACGATCAGAAACCACCCAACCTTACTCAGGCAACGTCTGTCACCTCAGTATGTTTAAGTATTTTTTTTTTTTTTTTAATATTTTGTAACATTCGAGTACGTTGGGTTGATCTGAGAAATTACTAATTCCAAACTGAAGAATTTATGAGGTAATTTAAAGGCCAGTCAATTTAAAATCCCCGACATTTATATTTTCCCTTACAAGATTTTTTTGTTGGAAATTCTTTGAGAGCCTTTATACCTAAAAGTAAAAAGATTTTTTTTTCAAATGAGTTACATATGTGTCGTTCTTTTGTCTTTAATTAAACTTTTGATGTCAGAGTACCAAGTTCTTTCCCTCCTCCCCCACACTCTATTAATTATTTAAAATATAATCTAATATCGTATTTTTCATTGTAGCATTTTCCAAGAAGTATCAAAATCTATATTTGTTTGACTCACTAAAATATTTATTTTCAACCCCTCTTTCTCTCAATTTTTCTTTACAGAGTACACCCTCAAAACCGACAAACAAGGAAAATGTCCAATGTAGAAATACTGAAGAAAACTGTGAAATGTTTACTTCGAATGGTTTCATATTAGAAGAAAGTGAAGCATACGAATTGTGATGGAAACTATTGTATAGCCAGCCCTAAAAATACAGGACATTTTGCTCCCCAGGAAACGAAAAACGAAAAGAAAAACCACCATAACTAACAAACATAGCTGGCTGAAAGCAAGCTTTTTTAAATATTTTTAACAATAAAAGAAATACAAAAATAACAAATAGTCTCTTTGACAAATAAAAGACCACGTCCTCCATCCATGCTAACTAACACACAACACACCGTTTGAATGCATGAGTAAATGATTAATAATAATCATGAATTCAAATATTACAACAAAGTTGTACGATGTTATTGATGAGAATGCAGTAAACGAATGTGATTATCTTCGATTGGCATCTAAAATCGTTGGGAAGGCGGCAGATAATAATAATAAACTCGAAACGTGTCAATGTTACTTAAAACATAATTATGCTGTGTGGGAAGAGCATAAGCAGCAGCAGGAAGAGGTGGAGGAAAAGAAGAAGAAGGAAAAAATAAATGCAATACGGCTGAAATTCAGGCAGCAAGGGCACCATCAACCACAGCAGCTACAGCAACTGAATGCAGATCAAATAGATCCTAACAGATGTTTATGTGATAAACAGAGACAGCACAATTGCCAGATACATTACTGCCACAAAAACAACAACAACAATAACAACAGCAGCAGTTGTACTATTTTAAGAAATACAACAACAACTGAACCCAGCTCAAAATACTGCTCATCACACAAACAACAACAACAGCAAGTAACACCACCACCAACATTACTCGAATATGGCATTATTGAATCGCCACAGCAACAACAATCTACATTACCCACATTATTTAAGCCATCTTGCACTCATGAGGATACTTATGCTGTACCATATTTAATATTAGACAATTCGAATACATGTAAATTTATATCAAGTAAGGAAAAAACTACATTAACTGTCGATAACTATGCATCATCCAGAACATCCACAACAACATTAACAAATTTCATTTCATCAACAAATATGCAAACAACGCCGGTGGCGGATGTAAACGAAAAATCCGTAATGTTAGCCAATGTTAAGCATCAAATTAAAAGAAAATACAACTCCTCGAATAGTAGTAGTAGCAGCAGGAAAACAAATGCCGCTGATGACCATTGCCGCCGCCGCCATTACACACGTGACAAGAATATTATTGTGCGGTGCTTCAATTACTCTGACCATTGGTGGAAGAATTGGCTGTTGAAAAACAATCCATGTCACCCCCAAACTGTTAACGGGCGAAATGGTGGTGGTTACGTCGGTGGCAGCAGAAAGCTACTGAATTTATTCTTTATTTTATTATTAACCTTTGCCCAATATTTTGGCAGCACCCAAGGGCTATTGGTGGCCAAGTCGTCACCCTTTAGTTTAGATTCCTCTTCACCAGTTGATTCTGTTTCCATTGATTCGGGTGATTTTGCAATGCAAAGCAGCAGCCCCCATACTAACAACAGCAATGGCGCTAGTTCGTCGTCGTCATCATCGTCACTTAATAACAATTTTGGCCTAACAAAAACATCATCGTCATCATTAGATCAAAACGAGGGACTCGTCGCAGGTATTAGCGACAATTTCCCATCGAGTAGTAAAAGTCTAAGCATATCATCGGCTGCTGGTAGTGGTGCCTATCTGGACAAATTGGACAATTTGGAACGTAGCTTGGCTGCAGTACTTATAAAAGTTGCCTACGGTACAACCTCGACCACCAAACGTAGTATTCCCGATAACAGTTATGCCTCAAGTCTAACCACCATAGCAACGCCCCTGCTTACCACACAAAGATATCACGAAAAGTCTCGCCAGCCCCAGCTGAATGTACATCATCGTAATTATGAACTCGATTTGGAAAGAGATCATGCCTTGCCAACAACAGCCCCAAATGCCGACATTTTAAAGAGTAACAGTAATCCAACATATCCCAACCCCAATCGTCATCACAACAATGATCGTGATCGCCATCGGCACTTGATTAATTCAACACCACTGCCATCATTGCCAGAAGTATTAAAGAAAACGAATGGTCACACACCCACCATACCAATGTTCTCGGGTGCCGATATACCCTCATATTCACCGCCGGCTAGATCGTTCTTTACGCCACCACTGCCACCAGAATATCAACATCCGTTTGCCGATAAACCAACCCTAAGGGGAACCAACAATGAAGGGGGTATTGTACCCAATACCGGTAGCTATATAAATCGCCGTCCCATACCGCCACCAAGTCTTATGCCTGGCCATGAACGTATTCCCTTTAGACCACCTGATTTGGCAGGTGGTGCAACAAGTGGTAATACCAACAATGCCAATATGTCCCCTGCGGCCCAATCGCCGCCCTCAATTGGTGGCAGTAGTCTATCATCCTCGGTCAATCCCCATTCTCCATCAAATGCCCACTTGGATACCACCGATCCACGATCAAAATCCACAAATAATGCCACAAAAAGTATTAATGTTGAATCTCCACCACCCGATGTTAAATCCGAAAATGGCAACTCAGATGCTGCGTCGCAGGGTTCCTCGTCTGGTAGCATGTTTTTGGACCCTTCAGATAGCTTCCGCAATAATTACAATTCCAAAGTACGGAAAGAGGTCCTACCCAGTATACAGCGCATACTAAGCGGTTCGAATGGTCGCAAGGGGGACATACCAGAAGTATTATTGAAACAGGTTACCACTAGACCAAACTATCACCAACCGCCTTCATCTCCGGTGGTTATTAACACCTATTTGAATCAAAATGGTGCAGCCGATACCAGTGTGGTGGATGCCAGCATTGATAGTAAGCAAAATATCAATAAAATCAAAAATATGAATGGTGTGGAAGGTGTTGATGTTGGTGTTGATGGTTCTGTTGCTGCAGATACACCACAACAAACGGAGATCACAACCAAATCGGTGACTGGTGCAATGTTTGGTGTACCGGCAAATGGTTCAACGTCAACGCCATCGGCTGCAGCCATTGGCGGCATGAAAACCAACACCGTTATAGTACCCACTTCTCGTACTGTATTTGCTTCGAATAATGCACCCTCGTCGACCAACAAAGGTGATGATGCGTCCTCGACATCATCGTCTACATTGGCGGCAGCTTCGGGCCTGGCCACCTCATCTCTTGCCTGGAATATTCACGTTTATTTATCGGTCATACTATTCACCATACTGGCTGTTTACTCACTGTACAAAATGGTTACCTACAATAAGCTTACACACCTCTTCTCGCAATCCTACTTCCTTTGCATTCACATTATCCTGATTACGATCTGCTCGATACGGACTTTCTACCTTTGCTATGACGCTTACAATATTCATTCCAGTTTTCATATTTTTGTTTCGGAAATTTTACTAAACCTACCAGCCACATTCCTGACTATATCCTTTGCCGTGTTGATACTATTTTTGTCCTTGAAATCGTTGAATCACAAGAATCGTTACTCGGCTCTGATTCGGCCGCTGACCGTTGTTGTGGGCTGTGGGGTTCATGTAATGCTGTGCATCACATTACACTATGTGGAGTCGTATACACTGCAAAATCACCAGCAACAGCAGAAGTTGTTGATGAAACGGCATCAGCAGCAGCAATTGCAGTCCTATGTACACCACAATTTTGCCCAACAGCAACAGCAGCAACAACAATATTCGTATTTAGAAAGCATGGCCTTTAACTCCCCGCTATCGGCAGCATCGGCTGCGGGTCAAACGGTTGGCGGCTATCAACATTTGGCTGCTGGGGTTGCTCCACTGCCACCGAATCCTCCGCGTGTTCTGTCACTGATTTGCCAAATCATTTACATTTTTGTTTGTTTCAGTTTGGGTCTGTTGTATTTGTATCTGTATAGGATTTTGAAGCGTGTCTTAAGAAACAAGTCGCAAAACTACATACATGGCTATCAGAATTTGTCTTATGCCATACATATTACCATTGCCACAGCCTTGCTGTTTGTCTTGCTGGCTGCATTGCAAATTTTCGGTGCTATAAGTATTTCGTCGACACGGCCAATGATTGCCCAGGCTACGGCCGAAATAGATTGGTTTCAATGGGGCTATCAGTTTTCGTTGCGACTTATTGAAATTGCCATTATCACCCTGATCTCGTGGGTCACGGGCTTGAAAACGAACACCGGCTCGAATACCGTCAACATTAATCTGACAAATAATGAGGCCCGCATTGTGGGGGGACATATCGATACGAATACTATGTATAATACAAATGCCAGTATGAATCCCAGACGACTCAAACAGAATGTCCACTATAGCCAATACAGCCATCCCAATGTGACCAATTTCTTCTTGCCTTATACCTCAAGTTCTAGTCAAGAACAATTTGACATGGATTATCCGGCACGTATATAACTCGAACAGAAAATAACGAATCAATGGTATTGAATGAATTAAAAAAAGGCCCCCAGCAGTAGCAGCTAACCCACCAGCCAGCCACATATGGAGAAAATGGTATCATATGGTTCAAGCTTTCTATTTCATTCTAATTACATACATAAAGTCCGAAATCTTGTCTCATCATAAAAGCAAAACAAAATTAAATTAAATCCCAACTTTTTTGCAACACCATCAACCAACATCATCCACTAAAAACAAAAACATAAAACGCGTTATAAAACTTTTTCACAATATACTCCAAATAAAACGTAAAGAAAAACAAAATATTAAATATATACATAGTTTTTTCGTAACATTTTTCCCTTCTTTTTTACATATATGCAATATAATCATAATCGCGACATAATGTATACAATTAAAAAACAAAAAACAAAATCTAAATATTTCCCTCTTTTTTTACATGAAAAAAATAAAAATGAATTTTTGTTCATTTTATTATTACTTTTATTTTATTTTTCGTTGTTTATATAATTCTGTGTATTGGATTTTAATATAAATAATAAAAAACTGATTTTTTATTTATACAAAGAAAACAATATATAATATATCATTTACACAGCAACAACAAAAACGCTCTTTTTTATTCGATTTATATAGTAATAATACATTTTGTTAATATTAAATTAAAAGCACTTTTTTAGATAACAGAAAGAAAAGCAAAAAAAATTGAATAAAATTTATAAAAAAAAATACAACAAATATTGCTTTAAATAAAACAAACAGAAATACGCAAGAAATAAAGAAATAAAAACATTCAAAAGAAATGTGAATTCTTTTTATTAAAAAGCCGAAAAAAAAACAAAAACAAAATCGAAAAAATCACATTTGCTGATAAATCGATTAATCATCAATCGAATTTATTGTTGTATTGATAAATCTTGATGCTGCTTAAACATTTAATTATATTCACATTTTTTTAAAGTGTAATGTAATTATTTTTTAAACAGAATTTTTAGATATATCAAACAAACAAAAATTTGATTACAACAAGAACAACAACAAACAAAAAGAATGAAAAACAATTTATCTCTAAGCCTAAAATTGCATAATTATTGTTAGTATTTAACTGTAAATTTTACATACTGTACATTTGTTAGTAACGACATATTTTTTAAGTTTAGCATTTAGTAATATATATAATATAAACAATTCAAAATTAAACATAATTTTTGATAATAAAATAAAATAATAAAAAAATACAAAAAATACTAAAAAAAAACAAAACTATTTTTAATTAAGACAAACAAAGAAACAGCAGATTGTGCGCATGTAGTGTGTGGCCGCAAACATGTAAATTCGAAATAACAATATTTTTTTTCTCCATTGAATTTCACAAATTGTATATAAGAAACATTTTTTGAAAACACGTCCAGAATCTTACACAATTTTCAAAATTATCTTTTTTCTTATCATTTTTCTTTTTAAATTGTTTGATTTTTATATTCAAACAAACTTGTTTTAAATTTAACTAGTTTTTATTTCTTTAATTCATTCGATCATATATTCTATTCTAAAAGTGAGTGAAACAATTATTGTTAGTCCTAGATGCGTATATTGTGATAACCTTCACCACATTGTGGTACAGGGTATTGCGTGTTGTCCCTTTGTTTGTAACAGCCAAAAGGGAACGAGTATACATAGAATCACTTTCTGAGACTGTCTGTCCAGGTTAAATTGTAAACAAAGTACAGGTCGCATTTATGATCCGAATTGAATGAACTATAGCACAGCTAATTTATTTGGTTCAAGAACCAACTCTATTGAAATTGGGAAAATCGGCTCAAATTTAGATATAGCTCTCATATCTATATTTTCGTCGTATATATCTTTCGATTTGCACGAAATTCGGCATAGCGTACTAAATTATGTGAAGAATGATGAGTGTTAAATTTCCTGAAAATCGTTCAAGATTTAGATATAGCTCCCACATATATTTTTGTCCGATTTAATGTAAATGGTGCAAAAAATGTCCCTATATATCTTTCGATTTGCACGAAATTTGGCATAGCGTACAGAATTACGTCTAGAATGATGTGTGATAAGTTTCGTAAAAATCGGTCCAGATTTATATATAGCTCCCAAATATATTTTCGTCCGATTTTATGTATATTGTGCACTAAAGACCCAAAGTTTGTCCGATTGGCACACAGTTTACTGTACAAGGTACTGAAGTTAAATATAAATTTTCATACGGGTGTCTGATTGAGATTAAATTTTGAACAGTGCGGCATACCGAATAGAGTCCCATTGTACGCAAACTACTCTAAATTTGCCCGAATGAAATGAAATTTAGCATAGGTTGTAGAATGACATATGTATCGTATATTTATGTTCGTTCAATTTCATGTCAATGTTCCGTCGAAAAGGCGACGCCTGTTAGGATACATATGTAGAATATACCCAAGTGGTGAAGGGTATAGTCGGTCCGACTACTTTACTACTTTCCTTACAGGTTCTATATATGAAAATTAAATTCATATTTATGATTTTTTTTTTTTTTAATTTTCCACTTTAATAATAATTTTTGATCAAATATATTGTCATTTCTAAGTACATGGATGGGGTCACATGGCGATACTCACTGTATAATTACAAATAAGTTTATGAAAACAACAACAAAAAAGAAAAAAAAACTAAATTATAAATTGCTCTAAAAAAGGAATAAATCAGAAAATGTATTCATTTGTACGTCCTACGAGCACCATAATAGTTCTCTCATTGCAACGAACGTGACCAGCATATTTATATATTAAATATTATATACATTTTTTGTTTTCAAATTTTTGCTGTTATAATTTTTAATCAATAGAAGAATAACATTTTGAAAGGTGCTGTAATATATATGCTTTATTGTTATATTTCAAAGTGAAGGATTCGTAAACATTCGTTTGGCTTACCCTGCCCTACCTTAATTATTTAGATATCTATCTATAAATTTATTTTTTTTGTAAATCGATCCGGAAAGCCAGATTGTATTTCGCAAAAGCTCATACTAATTGAAATCCGTCTCAGTAAGAAATATTATGCTCTCGGATGAATTAAAGTTAAATATTAAAGACTCTGTCATGAAAAAAACTACCGAAAGAAAGTCCAAAAATGAAAGGCTCATGCTACAGTATTGCAAGGGTACTGGGAAACACGGAGGTAGATCAATAATGGTATTGGGATGTTTTCCTTTTTATGTAGTTCGATATATTTACGAGATTTATGAAGTGTAATTGATCGGATTGTTTATACAAAGGTCTTGAAAATCGTTATGGTTCCCTACCGCTTGTTTGGGGATTTCGGCTTGACAATAACCTCCAAACATACACCAAAACATGTTAAAGATTGGTTGTGGGAATCAAAACTCAGGGTTCTATAATGGTCAATACAATCATCAGATCTTTAGCCTATAGAAAAATCGTTTGAGTATCATGGAAATTGCTTTCAATAGTTTCACAAACAAACAGGCATAGCCTCTTGCCAAAGGTTTAGAATGCAAGGAATAGTATACCACAAGGATCAAATTAAGCATATTATTGATTCAATGCCTCGTAGGTGTGCTGCCGTAATAAAAAAAATTATGGTTAAAATGTGTTTATTTATGAGAAAACAACAAAAAAGTTGCTTTAGTTTTGACCAAGCAAAAATTGGGTCAATTTAGTTTTACATATTTTTACATTTTTTTTTTCAAAATAAATTTTGCGTTTATATTTTTTCTGAAAAAAACTTTCACTGTAACTTGATTTTCAAAAAAGTTACTGGTCATGTATTCTGTTTGCAATTGCAGTTGCTTTAGTTTTGGCCACCAATGTACCTAGGCCACAATAATGTGTGCTAAATTTCGTGAAAATCGGTTCAGATTTATGTATAGCTCTCATATATATTTTCGTCCGATTTAATGTAAATGGTGCATCCCAATATATCTTTCGACTTGCACGAAATTTGGTACAGCGGACTGAATTAAGTCTAGAAGTATGTGTGTTAAGTTTCCAGAAAATCGAAAATCGATTCCAACGAAACTTCGTTCGGTTCAGATTTAGATACAGCTCCCATATATAGTTTAGTCGATTTTAGGTAAATGGTGCACCAAACTAAAAATATTTGCCCGATTAGGACAAAATTCTGCACAGCCTACCGAATGTAGTCTAGTTTGACATCTGTGAAGTTTTGTTGAAATCGGTTCAGGTATAGTTTCGTCCGATTTTATGTAAATTGTGAATATTGGTCCGATTGAGACAAAATTTTGCACAGAGCACTAACTTCAATCTAGATTGATGTATGCGAAGTTTTGTTGAAATCGTTTCAGATTTAGATATATCATCTATATTTAGTTTCTTCCAATTTTATGTAAATGGTGCACCAAACTCCCAATATTGCTTTGATTGAGACAACATTTAGCACAGAGTATTGAATTAGGTCTATATATCTCCCATATAAAATTGTGCCGGATTTCATACCAGAAATTCAATTCTGCAATTTTTTATAGATTTCAGAATGGTATGTGTATGGTTTTTAATTGGTTCAAATATCTAGGTAGACCACATTTGTTTTCACCCGATTCCATGTCAATGGTCATCCAAGGTTGCTATGTCTATTCTATCAACAGGATATTTTACACATTATCATCTCTTATGTGTACCCAAAGTGATGAAATCGGCCCTGTCCGACTTTTGAATGTTCCCTACTTGTTTTTCTTTTATTATTAATGTACACATCAAATTTCGGAAACGGATGTTTTGGCTCAAGATCCAATCTTGGAGAATCTATAATGTTAACAAACCTCAGGAAAGTTAACCTAAAAGAAAAAAAAAGTTTGCTGCACCCAAAATCAAAGAAATTACAATTTTTTCTGATTTTTTTCAATGCTGCACACCTTTGCACACAAAAAATCCTTTATCCTTCAGTTTTCAGTTGCATTTGTTGGTTTAAAGGTATTACACGCCTTCTGTTGATTACTACAAAATAACACTGTGATACTAAACAACAACAACAAAATTTTATTCAGGGGTTCTTGCACCAAATTATTTTAGTTGGAGTCCCAAAGGTTTTTTCATGGCACAGGGACTCCAACTAAACATAATTTGTTGCATTAGAACTCCTGAATAACTTTCCGTGTCCACAGTGTAATTATTATACTACTCACACTCACTCATTGCCTATATTTTGCCATACTATTGTACAATTTCAATTACAATTCACTACAAAACAACAACAAACAAAATATATATAAATAAAAAAATTTCATCTGTGCATTATTATAAAAAATATATATTTATATATATACAAACATAAAATACACTTAATAACAAATATATAAATACCAGCAGCAGTCTGACTGTAGAGAATGTGAGAACTTTTGAAACATAATTTGAAAATTAACAAGGAAAAAACAAAAACCCCAAAAACAAATAACATTTTTACAAAATAAACTGATATTAGATGCTAAATACTTTTACAGTACGAAATCAAGTCTATTAAAAAAAAAACAAAAAAAATATTGTAAAAAAATCAATGCATACATCATTTTAAATAAAAAACAACAACAACAAAATAATTGAATTTAAAACAAATATTACTTAATTAAGCAATAGTTTTATTTTCGGATTTCAAGGGGAAAATCGGTATATACACATCACCACACTGTGGTACAGGGTATTATGTCTATGTGCATATGTTTGTAACAGGTAAAAGGAAATGAGATAGACACATGATTCCTTTTGAGAATATGCACAGAATATGCACTTTCTGAGTCGATTTATGCAAGCAAGTTTGGCCCAAGCACAAACCCTATTGAAAGTGGGAAAAATTGGTTCACATTTAGATACAGCTTATATATTTTCGTCCGATTTTATGTAAATGGTGCTGCAAAGTCCCTATATATCCTTCGATTTGCAAAAAATTTGGCATAGCGTACTGAAATAAGTCTAGAACGATGTGTGTTAAATTTCGTGAAAATCGGTTTAGATTTATATATAGCTATCATATATATTTTCGTCCGATTTTATGTAAATGGTGCTGCAAAGTCCCTATATATCCTTCGATTTGCACAAATTTGGCATAGCGTATTGAAATAAGTCTGGAACGATGTGTGTTAAATTTCGTGAAAATCGGTTTAGATTTACATATAGCTCCCATATATATTTTCGTCCGATTTTATGTAAATGGTGCACCAAAGTACCTATACATCTTTCGATTTGCACGAAGTTTTGCACATCGTACTGAATTGAGTCTGGAACGATGTGTGTTTAATTTCGTGAAAATCGGTTTATATTTAGATATAGCTCCCATATATATTTTCGTCCGATTTTATGTAAATGGTGCACCAATGCCCCTGTATTTCTTTTGATTTGCACAAAATTTGGCATATCGTACTGACATGAGTCTAGAATGATGTGCACTAAGTTTCGGGAAAATCGGTTCAGATTTTGATATAGCTCCCATATATATTGTCGTCCTATTTTATGTAAATGATACGCAAAAGCCCACATATTTCTTTTGATCTGCACGAAATTTTGCATAGCGTACTGAACTGAGACTAGAATGATTTGCACTAAGTTTCGGGAAATCGGTTCAGATTTAAATATAGCTCACATATATATTTTCGTTCGATTTTATGTAAATGGTGCACCAATGCCCTGTATTTCTTTCGATTTGTTCAAAATTTTGCATAGCGTACTGAGGTAATACTATAATGATGTATACTAAGTTCCGTGAAAATCAGTACAGATTTAGATATAGCTCCCATCAGGGACGTACGCAGGGGGGCGGCCCAGGGGGCCCGCCCCCCCCCCCCCCCCCCCCCCCAAAATGAAAATTTTCCACAGTAAATTTATGTTTGCAACAGCGAATTTTTTCATTTTGTACTACCGGCAAAATTGCATTATTTAATTTTTTTCAACCATTCCATAACCTTTTCAACCATTCCATAACGAATATTTTATGAATAAATAAATTTCGAGAATAATAATAAAGTGAAAATGAGAACAAATTCGCTGCTGGTTCAGTAAAGGGAACCGGTGAACAAAATTTCAACCATATATACAGCGTGGATTTTTTTCAAACAAGCCATAAGCGTGGATTTTTTAAATATTTTTTTCGCCATGCCATAGATTTTTTAATTTTTTTTTCCAACCACCTCAAGCGTTGATTTTAAATATTTTTTTTAAACCGTGCCATAATCTAGTAGTTTTAAATTTTTTTTCTAACCATCGCAAAATTGCATTATTTAATTTTTTTCAACCATTCCATAACCTTTTCAACCATTCCATAACGAATATTTTATGAATAAATAAATTTCCTAGGTCCGGTGTCCATATATACAGCGATTGCCAGGCGGTCCTGAAGGCAATCAAGTCGCGAAATATAAAATCAACGGCGGTTTGTGGCTGTACAGTTTCTCTTCCTAAATTACCATGAGTTATTAATCTTTCTTGAAGTATCAAATTACTATTTAAAAACACACTCACCATAATACTATTTAATATAAAAAATAATTAACTATTTATTATTATTCACAAAAGAAAAATTTATATCTGTCGAACACCACGTTTACATTCATATTTTAATGTGTCGTTGATATATATATAAATTACTAATCCGAATCACTATCCGATCCGGCTTTGTCCTCATCTTTCTTGTCATCAGTCTTATAATGGCGATATTCCTTTTTCAATTCCCACATATTTTTGTGTGGATTTTTCATATTATAATCACAAACTTCCTTGAGGATTTCTTTCAAATAACCAATTGGTTGTTTTGTTATTTTCACCAAATCCTTAATGTTATAGTATTGATGTTTTTCAAAGGCAAGGAACAACATGTCCATAACAGCATTCTTATCGTCACGGGCCTTTTTACCCTCGGCTTTTTTGCGTTCCCGATATTCGATCTGAAATAACAAAAACATACGAAATTATTTATTATTCCATTACCAAAATACTACAATGAATCGACGACTTACATTGTGAGCATGATCCTTAACAGGTTTAAAGTTCTGAACAATCTTATCGATTGGTTGCACTTTTCGCACGGGTACCGATGCCTTGCGTATAGATTCCAATTTTAGCTTCATATAACAATTATCTGCAATTGGTCTACATTCTAGTTTTTGTACTATTCTACCTTCCATGTATAACTTCTCGGAGCCCTGTGTGCTAGCCGACGACTCTTTACTGCTGCTGCCACTGCTCGATTCAGGTGGTACCATATGTGAAAATACTCCCAATGTCTGTTTGGTCACGACAGAAACATCAAGTATATGTTCGGTGGGTATTTCTTCCTGTGGATCCAATTTCACAACGGCCTGTGATAAACTCAATGATACTTGTGCCTTTTGGCCGGGTGTTTTGCTAATTCGCAGTTTGCCCACGTCCATATTTGAGGGAGCTTTCTCCCATTTTTGTGCTATATATTTGGGTACCTTAACCAACCAAACACCTCGTCCAGCATTTGATAGATCCAATTCTTTATCGACAATTGGTATTTTTATATCCTTGTCGTCTTTAGACATTTTCAAATTAAAATTTCCCTATGTGATCAAGTGTGTTTGCCACCGATTAAACAAACTGTCAGCTTCCAGTTGCAGGGATACCTAGGCTGACTTTTGGACTGTCAACATCGAATTTCAATTGCTCATGGCCCAAGAAAGAAGTCGTTAATAATGGTGTTTTTACACGATATGTATTTTACATATGTGCTGTCACTTATTTCATCCATATGTAATTCCTTCCTTATGTGTGTCAAAATTAGCGGCGTACACAAAACATTTATTTTTGTGTTCAAATCGGCATATGTATTTTACATATGACATAACCTATAAACAAAAAAAAAAATCACTTATTTTTTCTTAAATCTACATCTTTTTTTATTAAACACCTACAAACGAAATAATAATTTGTAATTGTTGCCTTTTCATCCTTTTCTTTGACTTGCAATTGAAATATTTTCTTCCAACAATGTGTTTCATTCAAACATCTGATTTCCTTATGTTTCACATACGAAAATAGAGCGCGTCCTATTCGGAAAAAAATAAATATGTAATTGCATATCGTTTTGGCACATGACGAGTTCGATTTCCATATGCAAAAAAGTGACAGCACATATGTAAAATACATATCGTGTAAAAACACCATAAGCGAAATGATTTCACCCGAACTGTCAAAATTTGACTTAATCATGTGAAAACGTAAACAAAAAATTTAACAGTTTGAGGGATTTTTCTTCCAAAATGGACGATAATATTCGTTTCTTACGCGATTAAATTTAAGTATCGAAGTCCATGGTATATTCACAACTTTTTATAAACAAAAATTATAAATATCAAATTCCAATAAAAGTTTGAGTTAAAATCTCCATTTTATTATATAATTCATGGTAACATTTCTTTTGTAAGCAATTGAGAGTGTCTGTGTATATGCAAACAAATACCAGCTGACAGTCATTTGAAATGATCTTAAAGTCAGCGTAAATAACCTTAGAAAACGTTTAGACTAATAAATCCACTCGATCTCAAATGTCAATTCCATAATGCACATGGCCCATTTTCATTTTCAGGATTTCGTAAATCCACTTCATATAAAGTGCGTATGTAAATACGCTATTAAGCGGAGTACACACTAGCACTTTTGAGTGGCGGCATTTTTATCGATTACTGAATGTGCAAAAACCATGAATATCTTTGTGGTTGCCTGATGAATGACAAAGAACAAAAACGCATATCGTTTCCTTGTGGTTGTTGTATTTTCGATAATATATAACGCGACGGATGGATCAACGCGAGCATTCCGCTTAAAGGGCTAAGCAGGGCCCTTAAGGGCTAAGCAGATTGCTCGCGTTGAGCCATCCGTTGCGTTTTGTGTTATCGAAAATACAACAACCACAAGGAAACGATAACACTAACACATGAAGTTGATGTGCGCTGCGCTTTGAAGTTAAATATATTTTAACTTTTTGCGTGCGTTAACGCGATAACAAAAAACGCTCAACTCCGAAGCGCTGCGCACAACAACTTCAAGCGTTTGTGTTATCGTTTCCTTGTGGTTGTAGTATTTTCGATAACATATAACGCGACGGATGGCTCAACGCGAGCATTCTGCTTAGCGTGATTTTATATTTATCGGGATCGGTGTTGAGAGTTTCTCTCTCTTGAGATAGTAATTAGAGTTGCGCTATTTTTAATTTTGTAACAAGCGTACTTTTTGTTCACAAAAGGTACGAATTGACATAAACGTACCAAAGAAAAAAGTAGATTTGTTATTGTTCGTGAATAAATATACGCTTAAATTATAACATATATTATTTATGCAAATAATTGGTATAAATATTAGCCAATATTTCTCGATAATTATGATTTATTATCAGTTGAAGTAGAATTTTAGGTACCTTTTCGTACTTTTTTGTTCCTACCTGTGGTAATGTTTTCCAACACAATTCATAATTTACCACTGAGAGAGAGAAACTGTCAACACCGATCCGGATAAATATAAAACCACGCTTAGCCCTTTAAAACACGCATGTGCTGCATTTCGTTTTTGCTCGAATGTGAAACATTTTCCCACATAACTCGAGCACATGTAGCCTTTTGGTAAATTTTGTAAAATTAAAGAAAATAAAAAGGCTCTTTTTATTAAGAACAGCGTGTGATTGATTTTATTGCCCGTCGCCGTCGCATTTGACGTGACGATGAGCTCGTTGCGGATTTGGAGAGTGAGGTCGACAAAATGACCGTGGATGCTGTTCTGGCTGTCATTTTATCGGGGAATGTCGGCAACAAATTGTTGCCAAAGGCATTGTTATCCATACCCATTATACTACCGCCTCCTCCGCTGCCACAATGATTGCTAGAATTTTTTGAGCTCGATATGGTAAACTTGACAGATTATTCTATTATTTACGATTTCCACAATCTTTTCAGGATTATAATGTAATGCTTACATTGTAATAGTGATTTTGTGTTGCATTCTTACTCTAGCAGGTTAAAATTAATTCGATTACCTTCATTAAAAAGTAGACGTATTACAACGTTATCTAAAATTCAACGAAGCGTACAAAAATATTCAACTTCCCCACTATGGCAAAATGTTTTGTACGGCTGTATTACCCAAATACGTCGAATCCATTTCTCTTAGCAAATTAAACAAAAAAAATTATATTTTTTTCATGTTTTGTTTCTATTTTCAACAAAAGAAAAAAAACAAAACTACGTTCTTTCATAGTTGAATTTTTTCAACTTTGAAAATTCGTACGTCGACGTATTTCGGTAACATTCATATAAATACATGTGTTCATGGTATAATAATAGAAGGTAACAGCAAGTGTTGTTGTACAAAAAACGATACAACAACCACATGGAAATTTGTTTTTGTAAGTTCTACTAGTGTCAACTCATTTGACAGAAAAATGTAAATAAACAAACAAATTATCATCAAATTATTTTTATTTTGAAAATGAAATATTTTCGAATCCTCAAAATAAAAATTGAAAAACATGAATGAAAATCTATCAAATTTATATTTCTATCTATTCCACATCTTTCCTATAATTGAGCCATTGCCATATATATGTGTAACACATATGAAAATGCTGGGAATAGCGAGTTATTCCTTGAAGAAAGATTTGCTTCCTCAAACTTTCCCAGCAGGCAGATTGAGTAAATTGAATACAGGAGCACATTTAATAAAGAACAATTTTAAATTGTATGCGTTCCCAATTTTCCTGTTGGGTGATTTTTAAAAACATAATTTGTCAAATTCATATTGACACTAGTATAACATTGGAATCAAATCAGCTGGGATTTGCTGTTACCTTTTATAATTGTACCATGACATGTGTTCTACTTTTGTGGTGAAAAACGTCGAACGAGCTAGTTGAATTTTAGGTAAGGCTGTTATGTTGAACACTATTGGTCTGTTCCCGTACTGCAAGAATCTACTATTTTTTACTACGATAACACTTTTTTCCTTCATGATATCGAAGAAAATAGTAAAATCGAGTAGATTCTTGCAATACGGTACGGTAAGAATGGTAATATACCCTAAAAGTACATTTACATATAATATTTTAAATCGACTCGATTAACGAAATCCAGAAATACACCCTAATTGTTTACACATACCATAAATCATTATCTAAATACCGATCAGCTGATGTTTGTTAGTATACATACAAAATTATTATTTTGCGCCAAAAATATTTGTTTGCAATTTGAAAAAAGAATAGAAGAATTACCACAATGGAAATGTTTTTGCAATTCATTGATGCAAAAGTAAAAAAAAGAACTTTAAACACAAAAATTCTATAAATAATTTTTAATTTTCTTTGATCTTTCATTTTTGTATTTGTCAACCGTTTAATTTAAAAATAAACGGCATGTAAAAACAGTTGCAAATTTTGGTACTTTGTGAGAGAGTTGTATTTTTCCGTACAAAACTCGCGTTGTATCTCAGTAGTATCATGATTTCGATCATGATTTAAAATATACCCTGCCGCACAATGATTTAAATTTGTATGAGAAATCATGGTAAATTCAGCCCGATTAAGAAAATAAACCCTGATTCACCTTTTAATCATGATTAGATGTTATATGTAAATTCGCTTTAAGTCTCAATTTAGATTAGGCGAGTTTACTTGCGGCAAGTTTTTGTTTGTTGGAGAGAGGATCAAGGGGAATAGAAATGGAAAAATTGCTCGTACCGACAATTTTCTGGCAATTCGTTTTGTGCATTTTTTTTAGTGTCAGTAATTTAAAATACCAATCCAGAACATTTTCGAACATAAAAAAACCTGCACAAAATTAAAAAAAATAGTTTTGAAAATTGCCTTGTATAGACGCATGAAGCAATTTCAAAAGGGAACGATAAAAATTGCCGCAAGTAAACTCGCCTAATCTAAATCAGGACTAAGATTTCCTCATTTCATTTATTGGAATAAATGTTCCTTTTCGATCTAGTTGATATTTGGTATGTTCCCGTACTGCAAGAATCTACTAGATTTTACTATTTTTTCGATATCATAAAGGAAAATTCGTTATCGTAGTAAAACGTAGTAGATTCTTGCAGTACGGGAACAGACCAATAATCAACTATTAAATGTAGATTTTCATCGAAAAACTTTTTCTATGGGAGATCCACTTAATAAAATGTGTATTTATTTTAATTCTGTGTACTCTTGTGTAGATTTTCTGTAAGATTGTAGAACTTATAAAATCTAATTTAATTGTATTTTTTAATGAGTAGTTCAACTTAATAATAAACTGGCTGTTGAAGTAGATTCTATAGCTGTTTTTCTATTCCATTCTCATATTCCACCATGATGTGTGTACGCGATCCCTACGAAAATGATGGTCGCCCCCTCGGTCGGCAGGGGTGGGAAATAAATAAATAGAGGGTTATGGCTTATCAATCTTTTCTCAAAAGAAAAAATCCACCTCTACGTTGTGGGCTATAATATCAGAATAAATAAGAACAAATGCAACAAGTCGTTCTGATCATTTAACATATTGTTACGTTCTTGGATTTTACTTAATCCCGTGTAGACGTTGTTTTATTTCCCGATACAATTCGTACCAAATAAAACGCGGGTTCTTGCGGATTACGATTATTACAATGATTTTATTCACACAACTTTACTTTGCACTTTACACGACGGTTTCAATTCGCGATCTGATTCACAACTGACTCACTGCCTTTCCATTTCCCCTATTTATATGAGCCTTGCTTGTAGCTACAGAAGTTTCTAGACGATCTGGTAACACCTAGATCACGAACAATCTACCAATGCAACAAACACACATACAAACTTACATTGAGTAAACAATAACAACAACACATACAAACTTACATTGAGTAAACAATAACAACAACACATACAAACTTACATTGAGTGAACAATAACAAAATAGAAAATGGAAGAGGAAATGGAAGGATGTAGAAAAATCTATACAGTAGTTGTTGTTGTGAAGTTATTCGAATAAACTGCGTAGTAGAAATTTACGTTACAATTCAAATTCTTAAATTAACGGAATTCATCTAAATTAATCTTAAATCTAAAGTTATTTTCGTAACATTGCCCCCCGCTTAAGCCTGTTCGTCCCGAATAGGCACAGTTCCCGTTCCGTAGGGGGCCAGCCGCTCCAAATGTACAACTTTCATCTTCGACCTGGGACTGTCGCTCCTCTGGATGCGATAAACGACGTCATTTATTTTCGTGACATTCTTGTAGGGGCCTTCCCAGTGCGTTTGCAATTTGGGGCATAGTCCTTTTTTTCGTTGTGGGTTGAACAATAGTACCAGTTGCCCTTCTTGTAACCCATCGGTATTTGCCGCTCGATCGTACCTTGCCTTCATGCGGTTGCTAACCATTTTTATTCGATGGCGAACTGCATCGTGGATTTTACTAAAAGAGTTCTGACTGTCTTCTTCTTGGTTCACATCGTCGTTTGGGGTAGCACCGAATATCAAATCGCCAGGTAGCTTTAATTCATTTCCGAACAGAACTTTGGCTGGAGTCCGGGATGTGGAATCATGAATGGCCGATCTAAAGCCAGTAAAAACTTTGGAATATGCTCATCCCAGTCTCGTTGGCCACTGTCCACCACTTTCCGTAGATGTTCTTCAAGGGTGCGATTGAATCTTTCCACCATGCCATCTGATTGTGGATGTAGGGGCGTCGTTCTGGTTTTCTTGATTCCGTAGGAGTCACACATTTCCTTGAAGATCGCTGATTCAAAATTCCTACCTTGATCGGAATGAACCTCAGATGGAACACCATAGCGACAAATCCAATTTTTGCTGAACACATCCACAATTGTCCTGGCTTCTTGATTTGGGATAGCATAAACCTCTGGCCATTTGCTGAAGTAATCCATGACCACTAAGACATACCGGTTCCCAGAGTCGCTTGTTGGGAACGGTCCAGCTACATCCATTGCGGTTCTTTCAAAAGGGGCTCCTGAATTATACTGCTGCATGTAGCCTCGACTCTTCCGCGTTGGGCCTTTAGCTCTTATGCACCTTTCACAATTGGCGATCCAGTCGGCAATGGATTTTTGACAGCCGACCCAATAGAATCTCTGCTTTACCTTTTCAGCGGTTTTTGCTATGCCAAGATGTCCCCCACTTGGCCCATCGTGAAACTCCGACAAGACATCTCTTATTTTGGAGTCTGGGACGACGATCAAGTTCCGGTGAGATTTACCGTCCTCACTTTCCCATTTGCGATATAGGCAACCATCTATTATAAGTAGACTGTCCCACTGGGCCCAATAGGATTTTAAAAGAGGGCTTTCGGAGGTAATTTCTTTCCGACTAGGTCGCTTGCCCGTTTCTATGGCCGAAATTATTTTGCCCAGAATGGGATCTCTTCGTTGTTCCGTCGACCAATCTTCACCCGACTCAAACTGCAATCGTCGGACATCAACGATATTATCTTTGCACTCGGCCTTTGAGCAGTGCCTGTATTCTACCTTGCATGGCCGACGAGACAGGGCATCAGCATTACCGCGTTTTCCGCCTTCTCGATTCTGTTTAACGGTGACTCATTGGTGGACTGTTGAGCCATTCTTCTACCATCTTTCGTTGGAGGTGGTGACGATGACCTGGATCGTTTGCGCTTAGCTCTGCATTCGCGCGCAATATGACCTGCTTTATCGCAGTTGTAGCATCTAACCCTGGGCTTAGTCACCCCTACTAACTTTGTTTCTTCTATTACCCGCCTCATGGCGTCCTTGATCAAGTTAACGAGATATTTGTGTTCGCAACATTCGGTCTCCAGTTGGCTAATCTTGTGGGTCTGGGGCTTAACAATCATTCTTGTCGTCTCTTGGGCAAGGGCAAACGACACAGTTTCGGCAAACGACACATTTGGTGACGCATATGTTGCGCATTTAATCTCAGGGTCACGTATGCCATTCACAAAGGTTTCGATTTTCATACGGTCCAGCAATGGGTGATTCTCTCCTGTATACGACATTAGCACCAAACGTTCCACCTCAGCTGCAAAGTCTTGCAACGTCTCGTTTGCCCTCTGCACTCTTCCCCTTAATTCCATAAGGTAGATGTTTTGTTTATGTTCGCCACCGTACTTACGTTCCAGTGCAGCAATAACATCTTCATAGTTGTACCTAGAAGCGACAGGAATACTCTGTATAACATCAGCAGCACTGCCCTTCAATGCCAGAAGTAGTTCAACCGCTTTGTCGCTGTCGTTCCACGAATTTCTAGAAGCCACTGTCTCGAACTGTAACTTGAAAACATTGAATGACGTAGAGCCGTCGAATACAGGAGGTTTGATTTTTAGTGTGTTATCGGGAACTCGCACCGGACCACCTTTAATTTCCAGTTCCGACATTTTCTTCTCCAGATTCGTAACCCTGTGGTCGTGGACCAGAAATTTCTCATCCACAGACAGAATCTTCTCGTCAACCGACTGCACTTTCTTATCCAACTCTTTAATTTGGACCTCCACGGTTTCCACTCTCCTTCCAATAACTTCTGTAATGTTCTCGAGTTTATCGTTCATTCTACAACTCTCTGACTTGAGTTCATCTAACTTCCTGGAATTCTGTTCGAACATTCGTCTCGTGTTTTCTACTAACATTCTGGAATTTTCCGCAAACATTTTAGCCAGCATTTCTCTGAAATCGTCACCCCTGGTAGCTACTGACGAGTCTTCTCCACCGTTGGATTCGCCCATTTCCGATAAATCCACTTCATCCTTACTGTCAAACTCGTATGTATCGATGTTCATACCACGGCGCTCGAACTCATCCAACAGACGTTTTTGTAGTTCAGCCTTGTTGCCAGTAGAGGACAATTCCAATTTATTCAGCTCCTTCTTCAAGTCTTCCACTCGTAGATCCTTAAACTTCATCGTAGTATTATCGTAATCTCACTTCCGACACCAATTGTTACGTTCTTGGATTTTACTTAATCCCGTGTAGACGTTGTTTTATTTCCCGATACAATTCGTACCAAATAAAACGCGGGTTCTTGCGGATTACGATTATTACAATGATTTTATTCACACAACTTTACTTTACACGACGGTTTCAATTCGCGATCTGATTCACAACTGACTCACTGCCTTTCCATTTCCCCTATTTATATGAGCCTTGCTTGTAGCTACAGAAGTTTCTAGACGATCTGGTAACACCTAGATCACGAACAATCTACCAATGCAACAAACACACATACAAACTTACATTGAGTAAACAATAACAACAACACATACAAACTTACATTGAGTAAACAATAACAACACATACAAACTTACAATGAGTGAACAATAACAAAATAGAAAATGGAAGAGGAAATTGAAGGATGTAGAAAAATCTATACAGTAGTTGTTGTTGTGAAGTTATTCGAATAAACTGCGTAGTAGAAATTTACGTTACAATTCAAATTCTTAAATTAACGGAATTCATCTAAATTAATCTTAAATCTAAAGTTATTTTCGTAACAATATTTTTACCATTTTATTAAAAATGCGAAAAATAAATCGAATGTCACGATTTCTTTTTAAAATCAAGTTGAGAATATGATTTAGGTATTGATTCATCCACAAATGATAAATTTCTTCCCACCAATTTTGTAAAATTCACCTTTTAACAAATGTGTGTAAAACGCTTTAATATGATCGCACCAAACAACGACAAAAATCGATTACTTCATTGTACATATTCCAAAGTCGATTATTTTATTAATCGAAAGTCGATTTACGTTTCCCTAATTGGAAATCTAAAAAAATCTTATGAACGAGACACACGAAGATTGGAAGAAAAAAGGACACACGTTACAACGCAAATAGAAAAAAGAATTAATTATTTTTTTAATAATAATGATATTTATTGCGAGCCTTTTTATAGTTTTACGGTAATTCGAACAATGCAGCAAAGTACGAAAGTGCCGTGTCGTCTAGAGTGTGAAAAAAATGTGAAAAATGTAAATATGTTTTGACGACAACAAGAACACAAAAAAAACGAAACGCAAAAGAAAACGGATAGAAAACGAAATACGGTGAACAGCAAAGACAAAAAAAAAAAAGAAAAATGTTTTATTATCGAGCAGACATAGATTACATTTGCTGCTGCTGTGTCCTAAAGCAACGAGTGCGATTAATATTTAGCAATTTTAGCAGTTTAGTGTGGAAGTAAAGAAATTTTTTAGTGTACATTTTTTAGAAATACAACAAGTTATACACCATAGTTGGTGTATAACCCACCAACTCTTAGAGTTTAAGATAAGAACTTCACGTCTACGACTGGCTAGCTGGCTGACTGACTGGCTAGTTGATTTGTTTTGCCCTTTTACGTGGTGGTGTGTGATAGATAATTTTTTCTTTTGACGGAAAGAGAAGGGAAAACATTTGTGCTGATATTTGAAGCGCCAGCCACCACGGAGAGCGAACAAAGCTGCTCGCTCGTGTACAGTTCTTGCTACACGTTCGCGCTCGGCTTTTTATACATTGCGATATGTCCGAGAAAAATGGACAAGGAGCAGCAGTACAGTGGACGAAAGCAGGAGGAGGTGGAGGCGCAACGACAGGGCATAAACAACATCAACAGATTCAACAGGGCATCTCACCCATTTATAATGCAAATGTGGTGGGAGTACCACTAGGTTTAACAACGACGGCATGGTCTGCATCTGCATCTTTATATGGCGCAACAAATCATATAAGCGGTGGCAGTGGCAGCCAACATGATGTAGTATCATATGCATCTGCACGCTTTCAGGCGCCACCACCGTTGGAACACAGTAGTGCAGCATCATCGTCACACCCAGCAATACCACACTCAGCGAGTTCGAGTTCTAATGTACCTGTACCGAGTGGATTTGTACCGCCGTCATTTGCTGTTGCATCGTCTGCTACAGCTGCTGCTGCTGCAACAACATCCGTTTTAACACCAAATCCATATTCTGCACCCACTATAGCGGCTCAAAATACCCTGCTTGCCAGTACAACTAATCCACATGGTCTGCATCAGTCTGCCGCCCTAGCATCTCAACAATTTCCCGGGCAAACATTACACGGACCCTTCGGCATGGATCAGTTTCAACATTTAAATGTTCAACAACAATTCGAGCTAAGCAAATTAATGGCAGCTGCAACATTTGGCTCGAATCAAATTGCCGCCTCTATAGGACCAACAAATTTAACATCTTCCAGTAATAGCGCTAGTGGTGGTCCTTTAATTTCGGCGACAACGACCACAACTTCAACCTCCACTACAGCGTCAGCCCTCTCACCATCAATAAGCCAATCTTCATCTAGCCGTCAGCCACATACTACACCATCAATACCATTTGCCAATACTGGAGGAGGAGGTGGAGACATGGAACCAAATACGAGTGTTGCTGGTGCCATCAGCAATCAACTGGCGGAACAGGTCATTAACACAATAAGTACAGGGAGTTCGGGTAGTAAATTGGCCCCAACACCGATACATGGACGTCTAATGGGTTTAGGTGTAAATGCACCCGACGAAGAAAAACTGCGTCGTATACAAGAGGTTGTCGAATGGGGAATAAGGTACGTGTGTGTCAAAACTTTTTGTATACGTTTATATTGTTGTAATCTATTACATTTCGATTAATCAGAAGTACATTTGTTTTTATAGAAATGCCGAATGATTCGTTAAACCGAATTCTGATAAGAATCCATTGAAAAATGAATTTATAGATACTATCTATCGAAATCAAAATCTGAAATGATTGTGTATATCATTTTGTTTACAATTTGTGTTAATTTACAGATTGTATATTCTTCCTCATTACGTTGTTTCAAATTCAAACATATTTCAAATTCGTTGAGAATTGTTCTAGATTATGTTGTGATAATTGATGTTAAATAGAATTTCAAATAGGGACAACTGAAATCTTTTTTTTAGATTTATTTTACCGAGCGAGTATCATCTGTTTGGTCAATATGCGGAATTTCTCTCGAAACTTGAAGGAAATATATAGTACATATTTCATATATAGTAATTTGTTAACACGAAGTTGTTTTGGTATATATTCGCGGTATATATGGCGATATTCCCCATTTTCTAACTTACACTAAGTTAGGAAGAATATTAGGCTAAATATATTATCATGTGCAAAGTTTGAATGACAGACGAACATTTGTAAATCGACTCAGAATTGTCTGAAACGGATTTTCTTCAAGGGTTCTGAAACAAATATTTCGATAGGACATTCGCAAAGTGTATTAGCCATTTCAGGGTTGTACAGAGGTGACCAACCAATTGTACGTGAGAAAGGAACTGGTTTGAGCTGATGTGTGCTCCTATTGTTTGTTTTTCGAATTTCTCCAAAGTCTCCAGGCGAACTAATTTTGATATTCCACTCAGATTAGACGTCGCAACGGTCTCCACCTTGTCCAGATTTGCCGAAGAAACTTTCGGCAAATCTGGACAAGGATTTGCCGAAGAAACTTTCGGCTATTAGCTTCGAAGTGTTATTTCCAAAAACAACTTGAATTTGGCTCGTTCTCGAAGAACCACACGGTCGGTTTCTGTTTTGTTTCGGACTAAGGCGAATAGAGTAGATACGGATCAAAAAGGAGTTGGTTTGAGCAGATTTGCGCTCTTATCTATTTTTCGAAATTTTCCGAAGTCCTCTGGCAAATAAATTACAATATTTCTCACAGGTTTGACATCGGAACGATCGGCACATTACTTGTTTTTGCGAAGAAACTTTCGACTTTGCATTGAATTGTTTTTTTACGAACAGCTTTCATGGGGTTTGGCTGTCCTTATAACGTCCCTTCAATACTTATTTTGGTTTCTCATTGGTTGTTAAATCTTCCTACAAAAAATGATCAACTTTTGGTACTTTGACCAATTGCATGTTAGGCGACGATGGAACTTATTAAAATATTTCTAATATATGTGGTTATAAAAACTTATATTATTTTATCTATATCTGTATATATATGATTTGAAAGCGATTAACAACATTTTTCTTATTGTTTATATAACAATTGGTTAATATATATTTTTTTTTTCACAAAAAACAGCGATCACGCCAAACAGCAAATTGTACAAATATTGGATCGTATATCAACATTAAGACCGGTAGAAAAGCTATTGCTTTATTTACGTTTGCCGGGGGAGCAACCAGAAACAGGTAAGACCTGCAAATATTTTTCAATTACCCTTATTTGTTTATAAACTATATAAACTATATGTTTTTCGCTTAGATCCCTTGCGTCAACCACAAAATCCCCTAGGAACTCGATCTGAAATTAATCACACCATCAATTGGGTACGCACGCATTTGGAACAAGATCCACAGGTTTCAATACCCAAACAAGATGTATACAATGATTATTTGTAAGTAGGAAAATGTAATTTCCAATTTTGTGAAATATATAGTCACTCATTTACATTTCCATATTTCAATTTCCCATGCGCAGAGTCTATTGTGAACGCCTAAATATAAAACCATTATCAACAGCCGATTTTGGTAAAGTTATGAAACAAGTTTTCCCCGGCATACGGCCTAGACGTTTGGGAACACGAGGCCATTCGCGTTACTGTTATGCAGCTATGCGTAAAACTAGCAAACTACCAGCTCCACATTTGCCAACGCTAACGACGACCACAGCAAAATCAGCGATTAAAGGCGAAACAAATGCCGCCAATGAATCTGGCGATACATTTTCCGATAAAATCGATGAAGATCAAGAAGAATCTTGGTCTGTAATTAAACAGTGGGCTGAGAATGTTCTACATGTCAAGGTAAATGATGTTAATGATTTGGCAAATCAAATAAAAGCCAATGTTGCCCTGCCTCAAGGGCATCATACATCCTTTACGGCGGCAGGTACCACAAAAACTGGCAGTCATATGATACATAAGAAATATGCACAAAGGGAACCCAAAGAAAAACGAGTTATGGCTGTAAGTCAAATGATTTTTTTTTTTTTGAAGCTAAAAGAAACAACAACCACAAATGTTTTACCTTTTTCCTTTTCATTCCAGGATATGGGTCCATTAAAGAAGCGACGCAAAAAGAAACGCAAAGGTTCCTCTTCTTCTGAATCCAGTTGCCATCAGACGAATACGGCAATCGAACAGGGGTCATCCGGACACGGGCCTCAGCTATCCCCAGCCAATAGTTCAAAAGGCAGTAGTCAACGCAATCCTACATCGCCACTGATAACCGCCGCAGATGATGGACAAAAATTACTTAACGCCACCACCACGGTCAAGATAAAACAAGAAATTGTTGATTCGCCTGGGTTTGGAGCAGCAACATCTACCATTGTGTCGGCACATTCGACAGACACTGATTCCGCCAAGCACATACCCATATATCATCATCAGCATCCACACATAAATCAACAAAGTCAACAACAGCCAATTAATTTGGCAGCTGAAACAAGAGGTGGTGGAGCACATGCTGCTGGTATCGGAGTTAGACCTACTTCTGCCAGCCTAACAGGCAGTGCGTTTGAGCATGTGCGTTCGCCTGCAATACCAACAAACTCAAATTCAAGTACAACAACGGCAGTGAAAAATTTAACACCAAAAATTATGGAGCTTGCGGTGGAAAACCAACCAACGCAACAAACTTCGGCAACAATCCACAATGCTGCAACCATAAAACAAGAAGTGGGTGTCGATGATTACCAAACAACAAATATCTTTTGTAAAAAAGTGCGAAAAGCTCAAGAATCAAAAAGCTTCTGGCCAAATTCTCCAACATCCAATAATAGAACAACATCCCTAACCGTAACAAGTGCTTCCAGGCCAGTTCTACCCATAATAACAACAACAGCATCCACACCACCTCCAGTGGCTGCAAGTGTTATTACATCGCCGAATAACAATGAGGCCGGTAATAACAACAATTCCAGTGCCTTGGGTCCCAGTGCAGTAGTAGTGCCAACATGTTATTCGATGGGACCTCCGGCACAAATGGCCCCCTCTACAAGCCCAAATAATCACCACGAGGACGCAATGGGCCAGCCAAAAGTTGTCTCTAGGAATTTGCAACAATTGCGAGCCAAAAAATTACTAGGCGTAAATCCCGCAGCATGTGATCCGCCCGATTTGAGTGCTGCCGTTAAAGATGCCGCTGATCTACCCGAGAATTTGGGCTTACCACGTGAACGAGTCATCAGCATATGCAATATGGATAAACATGAATTAGACGACTACTTTTTACCCGAAGAAGAAAATTCTGAAGACCAAGAAACCGAACTGCTTCAATATTTTCAGATGGGAGACGCTGAGGAAAAATTAACAAAAAATTCTTCCTCCGATGCTAAGCGACACAGTTATCCAACAGTAACACCAGTGATATCAAATACGACTCTGACATCATCCGCATCATCATCGTGCCTAACAACGGTGACAATGATGTCTGGAGCGACAACTTCATCGGCAGCCGCCGTTGGAGCAGCAGCAGCAAGACAAACCCTAACAACGATGAATGCCAGCAACAGCAGCATTAAGCGTGATAGCTCAACAAATAATGAAATGAGCAACTTTAAACCGGCTACGAAGCAGCTATCACAACAGGCTCTAAACTATTTGAAAAGTTCGAATGCATCATCTTCCCTGTTCAGTGCGAACAACAACAGCAGCAGCAGGGAGTCTTGTGGCAAATTTGTATCATCTTCAAAGCATTTAACATCTGCTGTTGGAACTGCCTCAGCGTCTCTAGAACATTTAACACAAAAGCATCATCAACAACAACAGTTGTTGCCAAATCAACAACAATTGCAACAACCTCCTCAACCACCCGTAAAGGTTTCGTATAAACGTAAAATAAATTTAAATGCTTCGTCATCCTCTGATATAACGGCAGCAAGAAAAAATTATATTTTCGAACCCATATCACCGAACATAAATAGCACATCTACAACATCATCGGGTCACAACACAGGCGGAAATGGTGGTGGGAGTCATAGCACTAATACTGGATTTTTTGCCAGCCCCCATTTTAGCCGCCAACTAACCAAACAACAATCTTTAGACTCCGAATCATCGTCTGATCCAATGATAGGTGCGACCCGAAGAAGGCGTACATATATGACTACAATGACATCAGCTTCAGCTCCCCCTAGTCCATCGGTACTGAAACAACAACACGAACAACAATTATTTGCCCTATCAAATAATATTTTTTTAGAGCAATGGCCAACGGCAACGAACTCCTCGTCGGTCTTTAATAGTTTGCATGGTTCAAATCAAAATCATGCTGCCATGTTGGATCAAAATTCCCTAGATTTAGATTTATTTGCCGAAGCAGCTGCTGCCACAGCCACCGCATCCTCATCATCAATCTGTGCCTCTCAAAACCAACCGCCATTAGTTTCGCAAACATCACTAAAAGAAAGCGAAACAATTTTAAATGATTTGACACAACGTTCCCGTTCTGTGCCATTGTCACAATTGCAACGATCACATTCGCCTACCTTCAATCGTGCTTTTCAATTGAACTCCTCCGCTGCGGCCACAGCTTATTCGGCGTGTAATTCATTGGCCCAAACGCCAATACCCACCGAATTCATTGATTCGGTAACAATGCTCTCCGAGAACAGTTGCAGCCAACAAAGTTCATCGATCAAGCTGGAAGAAGTGGGCGGCAATGTTGTGGGCTCAGATTCGACTGCTTTGCTAGATGAGGTGGACGTAAATGAGATATTGTCTTCGCCAGATTTTGGTAAATTTTCCAGAATTACACAATCAGGTGGCAGTTCAACTGGTACAAAAACATCTTGCTCGTCGGCAGGATCTTCGTCCGGATATAGCAGTGCGGGCCAATTTTCTTTATCTCTCAGCAGTTACGGTGGTAGTAATGGCAATGGTGTAGGCGGTGCCATTATGTCATCCACAGCTTCAATTTCTCGATCTGTGCCTTCAACACCATTGCCGCATCAGAATCCATCCTGTATGCCGGGCAATGGTAACAGTTTCTATCGACGACGTTTTGCCAATAATTGTCAACCGCTGGGAGGTAATTATTTTTCATCAACGGGCAAATATGGTTATGGCAATATGAATACAACACTGTCTAGATCGGCATGTGACATATCTAAATCTATGCCCTCCACACCCATAACAACAACGCCGAGTAGTTTTCGCTATAGTCCAACAGAATTTACAAGAGATTTCCTTATAAATGGCAATACCATCGATGATAGTCTAACATCATCATTTGGCACTGTGGGGACGGATAATTTAATGGGATCAGATGTGGTGGGTGTAGACGCTCCCCTACTCAACGAAGAGGATTCACTAATAAATGGATCAAGAGGCGATAATGATGTTATTTCTCCTGATTTTTGTGCCCAGACCGCCGCGGATTCATCCATTTTAATGGGAAATAATAGTGGTTTGGGTGGATCGGCGGTGGCGGCGGGAGTATCGTCGACAACAACCGGATCGGATAGTGTAGGTGAGTCAGCCGTTGTTATTGGTGTAGGTACCGACCTTTTGGACAATTTGTAGAATTTGCCTGAAGAGCAAGTCAAAAGAAAACGACGTTTAAAGCCGCAAAAGTCACATGACTCCATAATGGAAGAAAACATTTTAGAAAATGAACCACAAAGTACAGAAACTGATGATGATGACGACGATGATGTGGATAATGATAATAATGGAGCTATGAGTCTTTTGTTGGCCGAAGTTGGAAAGCTTTAAACAAACACACACCCAAAAAGTTAACCATAATAGGTCATTTTGGAATATATTGATGTGGAGAAATGTATTGTGTACCTATTTGTGTGTGTGAAATGCCTGTGTTGAATTTTATTTTACAACAAAAATATTTGTACATTGTATGTACATGTAACATCCTCCTTAAGCATAATTTGGAAATCCACTTTGAATTTAAAAAAAAAATTGAATGAAGTGGAAGAGTATACGCCAACGGTTCATTTTATTGAATTGACCTATAAAGTTTTATAATTTCCTATTCTGTCACATACTCACAAATTTAATAGCTGGATCTTTGGTCTGAAGTCTTCAACACCCCTTCCTTTATGTTACAACGCCGATAGAGAATTAAATTTCCATTTAATTAAGCACAACTAATCGCTAGTTTATCATTTGTATCGGTTTTCTTTCCTTTCCAATTATTTAATGTGTGAGACTCATGAATTGTAACCTCTTGCTCTGTTCTGTTTGAATATCTCTGAAAGTATATTTCCCACTTCATTTTCTGGTTTTCAAGGCAGCTTTAAATTAAATCACACCCAACGATTGAAAAAAACTTTTTTTGGAATTGTTTCGTTTCCTGGTTTGACTAAAAATATGGACCTATTTTTTCAATATATCGGTCCATGTATTGGTAAAGTTCTCATATAATTTTTTGGTTATTTTTGGGGATTATAAAAACAAGTATTTCAGGCGATTTTGTTGTAATTTTTAATTTTTGGAATGGGGGTCCCATTTTTAGTTTAGATCCCATATTTGTGCACTTTTTTCAATCAAATTGACTCTAAATTAGTATTTTGTATTCTTCTAGTTGGTTGAAAAGCTTCCTACAACAAATCAATATTGGTCAAAAATTTAGGTTGGACACCCTTTATAAATGGTATCTCTGAAATTCCGATATATCAGGTATTTTGGGCACATTTTTCAACCAAATTGGCAGTACCAATATATCAATATTGATCCACTTTTTAGGTTAGCTTCCTACAACAAAAAATTTTAGGTTGGACCCACTTATAATGGTACCTCCCAATTATCGGTATATCGGTGATTTTGGGCACATTTTTCAACTAAATCTGCAGTAATTTAGTATTGCGAACTGTCATTGGGTAAACATTCTATCTCCCAAAATTTGATATTTAATGGAGTTTACTTTTTTCAATTAAATTGGCTGTAATTTATTTTTTGGATTCTCATTGCTTAGAACATCTACCTAGAAAAATGACACACTGACTTAAGTTTCGTGGTACCACCATTATTTTTTTATTTTTGAGGACTTATGACACAATTTTTATCCGAATTGGTATTAATTTCATATCTTTGGTTCTTCCTAGCAAAAATTTGCAATAGCATTGCCTGCCTCTATATAAAAGTCCCGATAGATCTTAGGTATTTTGTATTTTGTGACCATGGTGAATTGGGTTCACCATAAATTTCTCTCAACTATCACATCAAATAGATTCCTAAATGATGCAACGTTTTCATTATGTCTTGCTCTTCAGTAAACCAAACAAACTAATGATAATAATAATGAACCCGAGAATTGCTATATACACATTCATATGTGTATTTGTGTGTGCGAAATATGTAATAAATGTTGTTATTTATATATGTAAGTAAATTGTATTTGTTAAGTGGATTTATTTTGAAAAAAAATGTTTTCTTTTCCTTTATTGTTTGTTTCATTAGTTTTAAGATTACATTTTGAAATAGTACTATTTTTGATTTATTATTATTATTTTTGTTTTATTAACATAAAAAAGTCCTTAAATAGCATAACAAGAACAACATGTCTTTAAACGTCTGTGACGTTAATAAACAAAAAACAAATATACAAAACATATATTGGCCTTTGGTCGTTTTGTAAACATTAATGTTTTGCCTTTGAAAATTAAATTAAAAAAAAAACACATATTAATAAGTGTATATATATGTTGTATTTGTTTAATTCGTATACATAATTTTTTTAGTCTTAATTAAGTCTAACTAAAAAATGGCATACAAAATTATTTTTACTACACTGAGAAGAAGAATGAATTTTATAAAATAAATATGTGTGTGTGCGAGTGCAAAAGCAAAGCGGTATAATGTATTGTATATACATTTTTTATTAAATAAAAATGTTATTATAAATTAACTTTTCATTTCAATTTAAATAAAGAAACACACACATTTTAATTAATAGACCTTTGTAGTGTGATAGAATATATATTAACAATTTTTATTAAATAAATATATGCAGTAGCTGCGTTTTAATTTTTAAAAATTAAACAAACAGATATTAAGTTGTTTTTTATTTTTGTCTTAATTTTCATTTATTTTCAAGTATTTTTTTGTTTTTAGGACATTTCTCCTCACGTTCAAATGTTGGTTCAAATTGGATAGTCCGTTCGCATGATATTAAAAAAGTAACGTTTAACACACTTTTGACCATTTTGTGAGGAGGTACCAGAAGGAGTGAACCGATAAATGTTGGTCCCATTTTTAGGTTAGATCCCATATTTGAGCACTTTCTTTTCAATCAAATTGACTCTAAATTAGTATTTTTGATTCTAGTTGGTTGAAAAGCTTCCTACAACAAATCACCAATATTGGTCAAAATTTTAGGTTGGACCCCCTTATCGGTATATCGGGGATTTTGCACACATTTTCCAAACAGATTGACAGTAATTTAGTATTGTGAACTGTCATTGGGTAATAATTCGATCTACCAAAGTATCAATATTGATCCACTTTTTAGGTTAGTTTCCTGTAACAAATCATCAATATTGTTCAAAATTTTAGGTTGGACCATTTATAAATGGTATCTGCAAAATTTGGATATATCGGGGAATTTTGTTTTAATTCTTTTATGTTGAAGTATTTTTTTGTTTTAGGACATTTCTCCTCACGTTCAAATTTTGGTTCTAATTGGATGGTCCGTTTGCATTATATTAAAAAAGTAATTCTTAACACCATTTTGACCATTTTGTGGGGAGGTACCAGAAGCAGTGAATCGATAGTCCCCATTTTCGAAGTTAAACTAAGTTTAAAAGAAATATTAAGATGTACAATGTTTGGGTGAAATCGGCTACTCCTTCTAGAGTTATCTCAGCAAATTTATTTATTTTAAGATCTTGGAAGACGCATTACTATTATGTGACACATTTTTCTTTTCGCCGTTTTTCACTTTCGCTTATACTTGATTCAGAATAAGTGGAAAGTGAAAATGCGTAAAAGTTAGCTTTGGGGAAAAACTAGTTATTCTGGATTACAGAGTGTGGGAGAATGTGAGAGCTTTTTACACGTTTGTTGATAAATAATTCTTTGTCTTGCAGTAATTCATTATACCCTACACAACTATGTTGTAACGCCGCGAAATATTGATCCTAGCCCCACCTTTAATTATACCGATCGTCATATCTCGACTAGCTAAGACATGTGTGTCCGTCTGTTATGGACCAATCTTCACGAAATTTTGCATGTAGGGTGGGTTCTGCCCAATGAAGACCCGTGTTGTTTTGGTAAAGATCGGTTAATATTTAGAGGATGAAATGGACCGCTTGAATACTCCGGTTGGGGTTTTATTTCAGCAACTCTTACAGCTCCGTCATCATCGGAAAATACGTTAAAAACTCTCCCTAATGGTCACTTCATTGGAGTTAGGTTGTCTTTTTTCATAATGACAATATCTCCTTTTTTTAAGATTGGTCATCTTTTGTCTCCATTTGTTATGTTGCCGGAGTTCTTGTAGGTATTCTTCCGATCACCTTTTCCAGAATTGGTGCTTAATATGCGAAATTAACATCCAGTGTGATATCCTGGATATCTTCGAAGTGTCTACTCTGCTATCTACCTGCGAAGATAGAGCTTCTCCGATAAAAAAAATAAGATAAGAAACGGCGTCAATGCTTCAAGGCAATATGGATCGTTTGAAAGTGGCGTGAGCGGACGCGAATGTAATTGTATACCCTTGGAACTAGAAGCTGTCCGAATATAGAGTTTCAGATAATTCCTCTAAACTATTTTTGGCTCCAACAAAGTTTGTAGCGTTATTGCAATATATATTTTGGCAGTGACCTCGGCGAGCTATTAATCGTTCAAGAGAGCCAATGTATGATGCAGTTGATAGGTCTGATACGTGCTCTAAATGAACTACCTTTGTTGTAAAGCAGCAGAATACAGCTACATAAGCCTTTGTTGATAATGGTAGAGCCAAAATTAGAGCGGATTCTTGATATTACACATTTATACAATTTAAATAACAGTAAAAAGTATCAATTAAAAAAATCAATAAATATAACATTGAAAAATATTAAATAACAATTGGGTAACACATATTACAACTTAAATTACAATATGGCAACACGAATCTTTTTTCAAACACAATTTTCTCAAAATTGAAATCCGCTGTTGAAATCGCGATAGAGCTTTGAAATTTTGCACATAACTATGTACTTCTAAGATGTTTCTTATTGAAAATGATATATATCGCCCAATATAACGGCACCCTCAAATATTCGAAATCTTGACAATGTTTGCTACTTTTTGCAAGCGAATTTGCTGCTATTGGGTTCTTTGAGTACCAAATAGCAGCAAATCCATTGTGTAGCAATCTCCCTCCATACAAATAATGATCGATGTCGGTGCAATTTTTTTATTAGCTCCCATTAAATGTCACTCCTCATTATTCGGTATTTTGAGGGAGTTTGGGCAAAGTTTTCAATCAAATACGCTGTAAGTTAGCATTTTGAATCCTCATTTGGTAGAACATTTTTCTACCAAAAAGTGATCAATACTGGTTCAATTTTTAAGATAACCCCCATATAACGTTACCCCAAGTTTTTATACCCTCCACAATAGTTTGTAACTCATTGAAATATTCATTTCCGACCCTATAAAGTATATTTATTCTTGATAAGGGTAAAATTCTAAGACGATCTAAACATGTCCGTCCGTCTGATGTAATCACGCAATCTTCTGAAGGAATTGAGATAGGGTGCTGACAT